TGGATAAGGGACGGGTTATGAGAAGAACAGATATTTGTTTGTAACCTCATAGGGGGTGAAAAGTGATTAAGTTTATATATAAAGATTTACTTACTCTCCTCTGGACATCACAATTTAAGCCATTGGTCTTATCATGACCAACACAATAGTCACATTTTGTTTGGCTGCAGTGAAATGCAGGAAAAACTGGTACAAATGCAACAAATCTGTCAGTAGGGAGTTAGACCACTTATAGTATTTTATTAATTTTATTTTTGATATTTTATTTTAATTTAATTGTTTGCTTGTCTGTTTTAATATGCTGATCATTGATCATAACTGGATTTGGTCTTACTATTAATTTGATCATATTTACGTTTACCTTTCTTCCAAAGAGTTCAGATCAGTGTATACTATATATTATTCTCCTACTCTCTATTCTACTATCACAACAAACTTGCCAAGTACATTATACTGAAATTCACAAGTCCAGATTACCACTGAGCATTGTACCTCGGTAGGGAATTGGAATTATGTTCATAGTCCAACAATCTACCGAATGTTCTTTAGACATCTTGAGCTACCTCAGGGAAGAATTATAAAGTGCCCTCCAGGGAAACCGAGACAGAACTGACATAAACTCTAGCCTCTAACGCTAGAAACATCTACCTTCCCTACCTGCAAAACGCATTGGGGGCAAAAGATTAATGCTCCTGCATTCCACTATACATCATGTTATGGAATCCCTTACAGAATGGAAAGCAAATTTCGTTATCTGAAGAAGGGATTGTTGCCATAGCTGATGTGGTCTGAAAACTTTCCCTGTGATTTTTCATCAATCATCCTTATATGGTCAAATTTTACAGAACCAGGTACCCAACACCCAACCTTTGTTTCCTTGCCTGCCTGCAGTTTATCTAGAAGTATCTGGAAGGCTTACTTATACAAGTCACATTTTTAAATCTTTTACTGTTACTCTCCTCTGGACATCACAACTTATATTCACACCTGTGCTGATACTATTCTATTTTATTGAATGTGTATATGTGTATGTGTGCGATGAACATCTCCATGGTACAGTTCTACAGGAACAAAACTCCAGACATCACAATCTAAAGCATATGAATAAAACTTCTTGCACTGAGTCTCCTGTGCCATTCTGAATCTGGTCAGCAATACAATCTATCATCTGACAGATTGGCAATTACTTCAGAAGCAGTACATTATACATGAAGATACTGAAGGAGTCAAAGGGCATAATACTGCAAGAAATATAAAGCTAAACTGGGTAAGTTTCCTCAGTCCTTTATTCCACAATGTCCCTTGTTCTTCTTGCTCACTAATATTGACTCTTAGGCACATCCACTCACAATTAAATCCCACTGAGGTCAGTCACCTTGCTCCCAGCTAAATGGGTGTAAACTAGCAGCCAGACTCCGTAGTATTTTTTTCCTGCTTTCAATCTCTTTCACACCATTCTTGTTTTTCTATTTTAGTCATGTCAGTTGATCCCGTGCCCTGAAATGGATTTTGGAGAAACAACCAACCCCCCAAACACAACAACAACAACAAAAGCAACAAAAACAACAAAGGTATTGGAGCATTCACCATGACTTGAAAACCAGTCTTTGCCAGTTTAGAAGAAACAATGCTCTACCAGTGCCAAACTAAAATATTAAAATCCATGGAGAACAAATAAAAAGAAGAATATGGGTTCCAAGAGATAAAGAATATGGGTTTCAAGACACAATTTTAAACATTTTTCAGAGGCAACAGGATTCTGCTTATGATACTAGGTTTCTGCCCTTGTGATTGGTCCTATTAATGACTATGATATTTGTGATTCTATTAGTTTTGATGAACAAAGGAACCAACAATGGACATATATTGAAACTATACTGTTAAAGTATCTCTTTCTGATTTAGGGTTTTTTAAATTGTAGTAGATTTATTTAAGAAATATCTGAAATTATGTTATTTTATGTGGTTTATTAAATCAATCTCCTACAGCTTCCTGCTACTACATATGAATTTTGTATTTTGGAACTAACAAAAAAAGACTTCTGAACATATTTGAAACATATTATGATAATCCTTTCTTTGAAACTTTCTTAATAGCAGTTCATCTGAAGGGTTTTTTTTTTTTTTTCCTCTTTCCCCTGTATAACTTAGTAGTAATTTTCTTTTCCCTTTCTTCCTAGAACCCATAGGATAACCTTTTGTCTAAAAAATGTCCAACCAAAGCATGGCAA